GTTGAGTCCGGGGGCGGGGGCGGGGCCGAGCGCGGGCTGCGTAGCCCTGGGACCCGCCACATGTCACGAGGCCCCGCCCCGGCGTCCCTAAGTGGGGGGCGTGTCCATGTGCGCGTGCGCGTCCTTGCTGCGCGTGTCTGGTGTGTGCAACCTGTGTGAGTGTGTGTCCATGTGTGCTGTGTGTAGCTAGTGTGTGTGTGTCTGGTGTGGGTGTGTGTATCCATGTGTGTGGTGTGTAGCCAGTGTGTGGGTGTGGGTGTGTATCCATGTGTGTGGTGTGCATCTCTGGTGTGGGTGTGGTGTGTGTATCCATGTGTATTGTGTGTAGCCAGTGTGTGTCTGTGGTGTGGGTGTGTATATCCATGTGTGTTGTGTGTGTCTCTGGTGTGGGTGTGTGTATCCATGTGTGTGGTGTGCATCTCTGGTGTGGGTGGGTGTATATCCATGTGTGTTGTGTGCGTCTCTGGTGTGGGTGGGTGTATCCATGTGTGTTGTGTGTAGCCAGTGTGTGTGTGTCTGGTGTGTACAGCCTGTGTGTGTATCCGTGTGTGTTGTGTGCATCTCTGCTGTGTGTGGCCAGTGTGTGTGTCTCTGCTGCTGTGTGTGTCCACTTTACATTTCTATTGTGTATAGCCTCTGTGTGTGTGGCCAGTGTATGTCAATCTGTACATGGGGAGTAATTATTTTGAATGCCTTGGGGAGGAGCTATTTTGAAATAGTAGCAGTGGAACAAAATAGCTGTTTCGAAACAGGCGTTATTCCTCATGAAATGAGGTTTACAAAGGCCAAAATAAGCTGCCCATTATTTCGAATTTTTTTGAAAGAACAGGTTAGCTGTGTAGATGCTCACATAGTTATTTCGGGATAACGGATGTTATTCCAAAATAATGCTGCTGTGTAGACGTAACTTTAGAGCAGAGGTTCTCAAACTTTCTGATACTGGACCCTCCTCTAAGTTGCTCGTGACCCACAGTTTGAGAAACGAGATCTTAGAGCCTAAAAAAAACCTCTATATAATGAGCAGTCAGGACAAGGCTACCCCCTGAGTCTTTAAACTCCAACACAATTAATATAAGAAAAGAGGCACCTACTGATGTCTATTTAGCTCTGCTCTTTGAACAGTGGGAGGAATTAGGTCAAACCAGTCCAGGCAGGGGAAACCACATCACCTCCTGACCAGGATAACCTTCTCTTACCCTCAGAGCTCTGACACTCAAGCCCCTACATTTGCAAGAATCTTTCTGCTGTGAGCTCTTTCATGTGGAACAATTTAGCACAGCCCTGCTTTTCTGGAGTCCTCCAAAACTAAAAACATCAGTAACCATATTTCAGCTCCCCCTGCATTTCGTATAAACATAGAATCATAGAATACTAGGACTGGAAGGGACCTCGAAAGGTCATTGAGTCCAGTCCCCTGCCCTCATGGCAGGATCCAGCACTGTCTAGACCATCCTTGATAGACATTTATCTAACCTACTCTTCAATATCTCCAGAGATGGGGATTCCACATCCTCCCTGGGCAATTTATTCCAGTGTTTGACCATCCTGACAGGTAGGAACTTTTTCCTAATGTCCAATCTAAACCTCCCTTCCTGCAGTTTAAGCCCATTGCTTCTTGTTCTATCCTCAGAGGCCAAGATGAACAAGTTTTCTCCCTCCTCCTTATGACACCCTTATGATACCTGGAAAACATAATGGCTGTGTTTAGACTAGCAAGACTAAACTTGCCAGCTATCTACACTGGCCGCTTGAATTTCCACAAGAACACTGACTTCCTACTGTCTGAAATCAGTGCTTCTTGCGGAAATACTATGCTGCTCCCGTTCGGGCAAAAGTCCTTTTGTGCAAAGCTTTTGACAGCTCAGATTTGCTTTGCGCAAAAAAGCCCCGATCGCGAAAATGGCAATCGGGGTTTTTTTGCAGAAAAGCATCCGTGCCGATCTAGATGCTCTTTTCCACAAATGTTTTTAACGGAAAACTTTTCCGTTAAAAGCATTTGCGGAAAATCATGCCAGTCTAGACGTAGCCAATGGGTGTTGGGCTACAAATGACGTGGATTACAATGAGCGCAATACCACTCCATCTGCTGACTAGCAAATCTAAGCAAAGCAGGAGCAAGCGGTGTTTACGTAATAAACACACCCAGGGTTTCTCTCCCATTCCAACTAGCTATAAGGGACACATTCCTTCAGATCCTGCTCACACTTGGTATTTTGCAATTTGAAAAATGCAGATCTCAATGCACCCCACAGAAAGCCACCTATTTAGCACCTACACAGCCAGCTGGATCTTACCCATTCTTGGTCACAAGCCATCAATCAATAAACCATCAATAAAGAAAATAAACTTTCTAATCCAGCTGACCAGAAAAAAAAAACAGGCTTCTAGAGCAGCAGATGGAAAATATACGTTTGGCACAAGGATCCGGCTAGACCCAGCACGTTTTTGGCCTCAAATCACAACTTCATTCTGCTAAAGAGAAAGCAAGCTGCCATGACGAGCACCATCCAGAGCCAGTGAACCCTGGCCCCACGGCATTGCAGGACTCAGGCCAGGTCTACACTGGAGCCGGAAGGTCAGCTGCAGGTACGCGACTTCAGCTACATAAAATACGTGGCTGGAGTCGGCGTACCTTAATCCGAGCTTGGCTTCTTTTTCGCAGTGGGAAGCCAATGGGAACAGATGCTCCCGTCGGCGTCCCTTCCTCCTCCAGACTGTGCGGAGCACCGGCGCCAACTGGAGCTGCCTTCAGCATTCGATTTTGCAGGCCTTAACGTGGGCGTGTGCATTGTGGGACAAACTGGAACATTTTTATAGCGGGTCTCCTGAAAGCCAGTGGGGCCCACCCCAGACTTTTTACCTCACCCCACCCCCTTACTCCTGTCTGTGTCCTCCACCTCCCAGAGTTGGGGCCAGGAGCAGGCCTGTAGCTCTTGGGGGGTGGGGGATGCAGAGGGGTAAAGGGACCATGTCTTGGGCCATATGTGCGAGGCCAGGAACAGAGCCTCAGTGCAGGGCCAGGAGCAGCCAGGACCCCACAGACAGAGTCCAGGAGCTGTGAACAGAGCTGTAGGTGCAAGTCCAGTTGCAGCCAGGGTCCACATGTGGGGCTGGGAACAGTGCTCCAGGAAGGAGAGTCCTGCAGCCAGGCTCCCAGGTGCACCAGGGACTCTGAGCACAGCCTGGTGGCCAGGACCCTGCACAAAAACTGGGGGAGCTGCAGCACCCCCATCAGTACCCACAATTCCCACACCTAGGGGACAGACTTGGTCTGACACAGGAGTTAAATCACATCCCTTCTCTCACACTTTCCTCCTTGTAAATTCAATACAGGGAGTTGCAAAAGAGGGAAGGAGTATTAAAAGCCACCCTCTTCTGGGGGTTTCCGGTACTACGGCCCTACAAAATGGGGTTATTTACCTAAAGAATGGGGTTATGTACCCTACTGTGCAGCCTGTTTTGTCTTTCCTCCCCAGCGTCTCTTCCTATATGCTCAGCACAACCCAGGTTTGCACTTAGCCTGTCATAAAGTGACGTGACGTGACAGCCCTATACTACTGTTCCTGGAATCGCTCTTTGCTGAATGCTGCTCCCAGGCGGCCCTTGTGTCTCCTAGCAGGCCACACGCCTAGTCGCATGCTCCCTGTATCCCTCTTTCCTTTCACCTGGGACCGCAGCTAAACCTGTCACCGCTGAGCCTCCACTGTCATAAAGGGCCAGCGTGGTCACCAGCTGCCAACCCACCGGGGTTTGCGCCCATGTACGGGGCCCGTCCAGCCCTGAGGCACAGGGGCACTGGGTTCCCAGCCCCACGTTGGAGGCTGCT